CGTCAGTCCATCAGTCTACCGCTGCTGCTGCTACTAGTCTACCTTCCACTATGCTACTACTGAGCGTGCGTGGTGCAAGTGGTGATCTCACACGAATCGGCCAAGGGCTGAAGTAGCGCGTGTGTGTTCCGCAGGTCGAAGCATCGACAAATCGATGCAAAAGGCAGGATCCGCCCTCGAAGATCGAGCTGCAAGTAAGGCAAATCACTACAGTGCCGGCCCGCACTTAAGAATTCGATGCTAAAAAATTCCAAAACTCAAGAATTGACCGATAGATACACGTCCTCAGCTGCACGCCCTGTTAGGAACAAGAACGCACACCTGAGGTGCAAAACTGCTGCTACAAATAAGAACGGCAGCAATGCAGCGGCTGCCAGATAAGAATACTCGCAGGGGGAGGGAGGGAAGAGGGGGGAGTGATCCCAGAGTAGAGGGTATTGGATTTGGGAGGGGTACATAATACCCCACATATCAATATTGGTATTTTTTTAGAGGAGGAGGGTGGGCATTGTACGCGCGGGTCGTGCCCCTGGGTGCCCCCGAGAAAAGCGTGCGTGCCACGCAACGTGCAGCGTGCCACGAGCTGCGTGTGGTGCAGGGGGATCATGTCCCAGTACAATCCCTTATCCCATGGGATATTGAAAGAGCTTGGCAAACTTGCAGAGTTGAAACAAAGGGGTCTGATTCTTGACCGTCACTTCGAGACAATCAAAGCACACGTGAAGGCGGGGAACTCCGTTGCGAAAAGGAGCGATGGGACGCCATCGAGAGCGCGTGGGGGCTGAAGCCGAACGGTGTCTTTCGACGAAGAAGAGTGGGTCACGCAGATTGACGGCGAAACGCAGCGTATTACCAGCAGCACCCGCCTGTCCTCTTCATCCCAACAAGATGCCGGCAGCGCGCGAGGTGCTGCACCGCCGTCTCAGCACCCACCTGCTGCTTGCTGCAGGTACCGCGAGGAGAAAGGCCGTGGATCGCGGGAAGCAAGCTAGGGAGAGAGCGGCCAAAGGCACTTTAGGCGGCAACATCTGCAACGCGTTCGCGATTGGCAGCCGAGAACCGGTGAGCACACCGTTACTTTTCGCTACCCGTGTAGTCTACATACACTATTTTCGTTTTTCAAGAAAAATTCCTGTGAAAACGATGACATGATGAGGGCCATTTTTTTTCAGTAGCGGCGCGATATAAAAAAAAAGGAGAAAGTTCGTAGTTTTGGGGCTGGCCTCTGCTGGCCAAGACTGCGTTTCGCACGCCGTTTCTTGCTGTAGGTGCCCAAGCAAGTGGAGGAGTGTCGAGTTCCCGTCAACTGCGTCTGCTGGCATGAGCCAACTCCGGTGCAAATACTCCGGAAAGTTGTGCCTTTTTCAGATTCGTGGAATGCTGCTGCTGTGTAGACATGATGAGATAAACATTTTGTCCATCCCCCCTTTTTTTAAGCAAGACAAGAACATTTAAAGAAAATAGTGCAGACAGACATTCTAATTTGGATGCCGGCGACTTTGTTTTGGCGTCACAACAGTGCACGTTCTCTGCTTGATACTTAGTTTGAAGAGTCACGAACGAAACAGACAGCTTTCGGCACTCCACGGAGGTTTGAGGTCGAAAGCGCCACACTCCATAGCGAACGATACATGACGTTACTCGTTGAATCACCCCCCCGGCAACTCCGCCCTGCTTCCACCTTGCCATGCAGATTGAGCGGACTCGCGGTGGAGTGAAAGAGCTCATATCCGGTATAAGCTTCCCACCTCCGACCCCGGAGTCCCGCCGATCTTGCCCTCACTGTCCCACGACCTTCGTGAACGAGCAAGGCCTTGGGATCTACGTGAGAACGCAGCACAGCAGTGCAAACATGTCCAACGGCGTGCGGCTGCGGTGCATGTTACGGAAGGATGTCGGAGGGAGTGTCCTGCCGTGGGAAGCAGCCGGGCCTGGGCGTTGTTGGCACGTGAAGTTCGATCATGCGACGGGGACGGCTTCGTTTGTCCTCCAGCGGAAGCGCTTTCTCGATCTCGACTTGGATAGCGACGGCTTTATGGACCGCAAACCCAAGGACACTCGTGGGGCTCCCAAGCGCAGGCGATACGACTTCAGGTTCAAAGCCCACGCGGTCAACCAGCTGCGCATCCTCCAGGACAACGCCGAAGACTTATGGAAGGAGGAGCAGCGCACGCCTCTTCAGTTCTTGGAGGATCGTCTCAAGATTCTCTACAGCAATTATAGTGAAGTGGGCCAAGAACGAGAAGGAATTGGTCGCGGCGGCAGCCAGTGACGTAAAGAAGAGCCTCCTCGCCAAACAGCAGCCTAAGCGGTGGTTTCCTGAGGCAGAGAAGCGACTGTACAAGGGGTTCGTGGAGCGGCGGAAGAGAAAGCTGAAGGTGTCGACCCTGTGGCTGACGATCACGTTCCGGAAGCTCGTGCGAGAGATGTACCCCGGGGATCAACGAGCGGCGTCCTTCCGTGCATCCTTCAGGTGGGCGCGAAGATGGGCCAAGAGGCATAACCTGTCCAAAAGACGCCGGACCAACCTCAAGAACAAGTCTGTCGAGGAGCGGCTTCCAAAGATCCAGCGCTTCCACCGACTGTTGGCAAGCTCCTGCAAGAGCCGGAGCGGTACAGGGCGCCCGATGAGTCCGACGTGTCGGCAGTCACGACGGTCGCGGAGAGACAGTCCAGGGTTCCCAAGTACGGTCAATTTCAGCTCTGGGAGCGTTGTAATGTGGATCAAGTATCTTTGGCATTCGTGAACGGGCTGCTCGACACGTGGGACAAGAGAGGTGCGTTGCAGGTAGCAATATCGCAGCCCTTTCCTGGCCTAGAGAAAAGGCATTGCACGATGCAAGTCATCTTTGGTCCGGGTGAGAAGACCATGCGCAATTCGGTGATTTTCCGAGGCACGGGAAAGCGGATCTCGCCGGTGGAGAAGGCAGCGTGTCACGAGGACGTGGACGTGTTTTTCCAGGAGAACGCGTGGGCCGACCAAAAGTTCCGCATGGAGTGGGCGAAGAGGTCCTACCGAGAAGGTCTGATGCGCGGGCGGGGTGAGCTCCGGAAGGCGAGGTCCATTCTGATCATGGACAACATGCACGCGCAGACCACGGACGAGTTCAAGGAGTATCTTGGGAAGCACTGCAACACTCTCGCCTGGTATGGCCCTTCGGAGTGCACGGACGAGGTGCAGCCAGTTGATGCAGGAGCCGGACGATTTCTCAAGGTGGAAGTCGGGAGGCAGATGGACATATGGCTCGAGCAGTCGGACAACCTCGAGAGATGAGAAACCGCGTCGCTGACAGCTTCTGATCGGCGCGTCCTGATCGCTCAGTGGATGGGAGCGGCCATGGCAAGACTCAACAGCCAACAGGCGTACCGATACCGTCTTTTCGAAAAGTGCGGGATGGCCATGACCGTGGACGGCTCGGCCGACGATCGAATCACCTTGGAGGGTTTGGACAAGCCGTTTACCTTGGCTAACGATGAAAACAGTAGCGACGACGAACAAGGTTCGGAGAACGGCAACGATGAGCCTGAGNATGAGAAACCGCGTCGCTGACAGCTTCTGATCGGCGCGTCCTGATCGCTCAGTGGA